GCGACTCAGGGATTGACTTGCTACCAGGGAATAATCTTGTCGACTTAGAATATGCAGACGATATAGTCCTTCTGGGCGAGGACGCTGAAAAAATGCAGTGTCTTCTAAACACCTTGAGCTGCAATCTACAATTGTTTGGCGTGCGGTTCGCTCCAGCCAAATGCAAGATGATGTTACAGGACTGGACTATACCGACTCCTAGATTAGAAATAGGGAGTGAAGCGGTACAGCACGTTGACCGCGTCACTTATTTAGGAATTAACATCAGCCAACGCCAATGGGTTGATCCCTGACGAAATCTCAGGATGGATACAGGGGGCTCGTTTCGCATTTGCCAGTTTACGCCGTCTCTGGCGTAGACGACATATCCGACTATCGACCAAAGGGCTGGTGTACTGCTCAACAGTCCACTCAGTCCCCATTTATGGTTGTGAGACCTGGCCAATGAGAGTGGAAGACATGAAAAGATTAGCTGTCTTAGATTGTAGATGCCTGCGTTCTATCATCTGTGTGAAGTGGTATAATAAGGTGAGCAATATTGAGGTTAGGTTTTGGTCAAGTGCTAGGTAAGGAGGGGAAATCAATCGACGAGGTTGTGAAGTTACATCGACTGAGAGGGTTACGACATGTATTGAGTATGCCTAGTCATCGCCTTCCTCGACGAACAATGTCAGGGGATATAGGGTCAGGCTGGAAATTAGCTAGCGGAGGTTACACAAAAACATGGCACCAGTCAATGAAATCTACAACAGTTAGTCTAAGCCACGTAGGAAGTTGTAGACTTCCTGACTATTTGGGGTCCTCGGTAAGGTAAATACCAATGGTTGGAAACAATTGGTGACTTTGCTCGAAATCGTTCTTAATGGCTGGTGCAGATGCTTCCCCTCCTCGTGACTTATGATTTCCAATGAAACTGTTTTGTTCTTCGTTATTACTATTCTTTTGTCTCACACCTCTGTTTACTGTCTTTATTATGCATTTCTTCTGTTGCTTTGTGTGCTACATGGAGTGTGTCGACTTGAACTTCCACACATATGTGCAAAGTTCTATGTCGAAAACAGACAGACAGACAGATCACCTCAATCTGGCCAGGTGGTAAGCACTACTGATCGATGTGAGCGGCATGCAACTACTCATCGCAATCAATCAGTCAGTATGTAGGTACTGCACTCAGAAAGGAAATTACCTGAAATTCCTTGTGTTAGGAAATATGAGGATTTGTTGATTCTGCTGGATTCCTTCTCTTGAAAAAAAACTGGAAACCGCGTACGAAGACTGATGTGGAAAATGAGGCCATTGAATCTCCATGGAGAGAGAGAGACCGTTTCGCCAGATGTCACTTGAGATCGTAGTTATTTGGGAAACTTTATTAAAGGATCATGATATCAGACAACTGAATCGTGATCACAGTTAGAATAAATTGTTTGCCACCTAGCTAAGTGTAGATTAGCATCAGGTGTCTTTATTTTGATATTTATCTGATATTTACTAATATCACTTCGCCTTCACTTCACTGTCTCTCAAATATTGTTCCTGAAATTTGGAATATATTCACGCACTGTTGACAGAAGAGGCAGGTAGCACAGATTCCAAACGCGCACAAAGAAGAAAGACATGATGAATGCGTATGACCAACGATGAAAACATCATTAGCAACATTGACAAAATCTCACAACTGCAACTAGGAACCCCATTCAACCAACAACGGAAGAAATATAAAAGAGGTCACTCCACTCATTTATCTGGCTGGGTGGCATCGTTTCAACTATAGGTGGCACAAGTAAGGATATCAAGGAAAGCTGAGATTGGCAAGGTAATACTCATCTTCATCACTCTCATATTCATCTGGAAATCACCCTCAGCCAGCAAAAACAACCAGATTATGATTTTGAACACGGGTGTTATGGTAGTTCTTCTACATGATTCAGAAAATTTAAAATTCGAGAATAGCATTTCCAACAGGCCACTGCAGACTTGCATCAACAGCGTCTAACTCTAATCTAATCCGCTTTCTTGACTCTAACCTATCGAAAATAAATATATAAGTCTAGCTCTAAATGCTGGTCTTGACCGACTGTCATTCGAATGAAAACCAGGGAGTACTGGACACCTGTTTCGTTTAGTGGTATGCATTAACTGGGTTCCGAACGTTGAACCTTCTGGTAACGAGCCGAGCTTGTAGACCATATAGCCACTGAAATCTTTTCGTATGGAAAGACCATGAATTGTAGCTTCTGTCGATTCACGATGTATATTGCACAACTTCCAGTCAGTTTCATTAACTAGTGTTTGTTTTCTTGCCCTACTTCGTAGATCTTCTAAATAGAGAGTCACCAGTGAGCATCAGGTAACTTCCAGGTGTTGTTTGGTCAGCAGTGCTTGATTAATTACACGTTGGCGTCAGTTAAGAACCACTGGACAGCCATTTCGTCAGGATTTGAAACTGCTCGTTAACACGCACACACAGGAATACAAACTCAGGTATTTCATGGACCATCGGATTGAATCTTGGTCACTCAAATACTCTACTAGCACATTGTGTAACCCAGTGGTCCAATGGAAATCTGGGAGTTATTCTCAGATGTCTCTTCTTTGAAATAAATTCACCTGTATAGTGTTCTCATCCTTTCCTCAAAGCCTCTTCATTGTGAATATAGCGCGTTGTTCATCTAGTTTGGGTGGCTTCCTTTGACGAATCACTCGAATCTCACTCAAACTTCACAATAATACAGACATTTCCAGTAATCACAATGCCGAAAATGAAACTGACCTCGTTCGATAAACTTCTTCACAAATACCAAATTTTCACAACCTGCAGACTGATTTACGCCGTTACTTTCGAAAAGAAGAGAACTACTGTAGACAATAGATTTTCTGTCTGTGAATGTGGTACCCTGAAGCAGTTAATTATCTGTTACGGTGTTAGAGTTTGTGTTACTGACTCTACGCCTACACAAAGGATCATTAGAACGGTAGAAGAAGAAGAAGAAGAGGGAGAAGTCGATGGAGAACGACTTAATTGAGACACAGTTTCAGTGTGATATAACACACACGTATACAGACACACAAGTCTCGCTTTGTTTGTGTACTTCATTGGCCAATTGTGGAATGGATGGATTTGTTTTAATTAGTAGTCTGGTGAACTCAGTGGCCTTGTTTAAGGTCTTAAATTATCGTACGATGTTCTGTTAGCAAAGAATATATATGTAAATATATACCTTCGGTTTTCGACAAATTCAACAGTGGTGTATCAACCATGCTGACGTTGGTTTTTGGACGGAATCATAATTTTGATATTCTTACAGAGTAAGTTCAAAATTGTATTATTTGAATTCATTGGTCACTTGCTAGCTGGTTATTAAATTATTATTACCATTTTTATACTCTAAGGTTCTGATTAAGAGAAGGGGCTGAAACAAGGCATCTCCACTCTTGTTCTGTTCATTGTACTCTTCTCTAGCCTGCTACACGAAGTCCTCTTAGCATGAATCTCCTGCTCATACAATCTTGTCTGTGTCACTCCTGGAGTTGTGCCGCAACTAGTCATAAACTATTCGAGTTTGCCTGAAAGGTTTGACGCATGATGTCATTCAACAGCCTCCTCAGTGATTTTTCGATCTACGTCTTTTTTTCTTCGGCATATTTGTTGAGCAATAGGTTCTTGATTGCTTTATCCCTGATGTTGCTTGTATCAATTTTATCGATTTTTGTGTATTTATGAAAGCCGATTCCTAAACCGTTCGGAAAGGCGATATTCTACTCGCACGATAGAGTTTTACGCCAAGGCGGTTTAGAACAGCTGAAGTCATAGCGTCTTAAATATTGAACAAAAATCACCCTGCGGACAAGAGATATGATATTGACACTGTCAAATCATTCACAGTTGCCAGCCAGTAGACAAACAAAAGGATAGGACGATGACCACTTCTGCCAGGGCAAGTGCAATCAGAGTTTTCAGGCCAGATCTCGGTGAAGAAAAGGAAATTGTCGTCATTCCTAATGTTAAATGGTAATATGGTTTGCTTATGAACTGGAGCTCCTTTCAGTATCCAACATTTCCTACGTAATACTGAGAAAATTTGAGCCACTCCCATATGTCATTCAAATTCAAGAAAATGGAGAATAGTAACTTCTGCGACAGGATGAGTTCCAGGTAATATGGCCGAATGTATTGATGAACTTGGCAGACTGCAGTTACTCACATTTTACTCACCAACACATGTGAAGTCACCTAAGATGATGTGGCTTAGCTGCTTGGTACTCTGAAGCCGTAATATGCACTTACCGTCTGAAGAGCATTCTGCCTTAATTCCCTTGAATTCATTGAATGCTTGTCTTTGGCCGTATCTAAGCATATGCTTTACAGCTTCTGACACCTCGCTGGTTTGTAAAGAGGACGTTTACGCTTACGACAATAAGGTGACCACTGGATATGCTGGTACCTGCGTTTTCAAAATATTAACTTCTTTCAACTTTGTATCGGGTGAACTTATAGATATGCCTTTACCTGAGAACTTAAACCAGTCTTTCTTGGAATCTTTGAGCAATTCAGTGGCATTGAGCAAAGTGTATTTATGCTCAAACTCATCAAATTTGATTCCTTTAAAGTTCAGGTTGGCAGGATTCATAATTCTTGGTACGTGTGAGCATTGGCATCTGTCTAGCTATCTGTTTATCTATCTATCTAACAGTCTGCCTGCATACTTACCTATATGACACGTTTTTCTCTCACTCCTGCTTATTCATCTGTGAATTTTTGTCAACTAAGCGAAAATCGCATTCTGACGACATCAGTCATCGATCTTTCTTGGTCTTCCTATTTGTGTTTGCCTGAATAAGGAGATGATACCTTAATACTCTTAGTAGTCGTGTGATTCTGCTACAGTCCTGCCTATACATCTCCTAAATTGTTAACCACTAAACGTAATTTATGATGACACACTAGTGAATACATCTCCACGTAGTTTATTTCCACATTCTCGAAATTGACGAAGCCAGAGTCAGTGATAAGAATGATAATTTTATTGGCGAAACCAAGAAAAATATATATATTTGGAGTTATAGAAGTCCACAAATGAAAGCAGAGTAATTACGTCATGTGGTTACTTATTTTTGAAAATGTAGAGGATGATAATTATCAGGGAGATTGAGATGATCAGAACCACTCCGACAGTGCCTAGAAGAAAGAAGGGGAAAACAAGGAGAAATGGTATTTACAAGTGGATTCTGTGAAAATCCGGCGACAATTAGCATAGGTGAATATGTCCACCTTGCAAAAAATCTACTCAATAATATATGCACCAAATGCGCGTGCGTTTAACTTCTATACTGGTGTGTTTGGTCCAGTGTTCAGGGTGGAGTAGACCGTTCATGTAGCGAGTTGTGAGCTGCATGTTTTTATGTGTAGATTGATGATACCACCCAGTCACACAGATGGGATAGTATGAGTGTGTAGGAGTCGAATTCGGGATATATTTTCTATAATCTGAGTTCTCAGGCTATCGACCTACTCCATAGCTCATTTACTAACCTCAGTATTTTAGCAAAAGCTTGTGAGCATCTAGTTGAACAATATATGTGTAGGGAGCGTTATAACTTATTGCGTAGGGATTGTGACATAGTGTTGCGCAGTCTTTCCCAATCTTGAATGATGATCGTGGAGTGCTGTTTATTCACAATAGTGTATAGTCGGAGGATCAAAACGAATGAGAAAGGATGCAATAAAACATAAGCAGAACAGAACACAGTTGATGTGTCATTTCAACACGTTATACAAAATACTGATATCTGCGGTAGATCAGCAATAGGCTGATTGAACTCCTTCTGGAATGTCTCGATTTCTCGTACACGGAGTGACTTTGACACATATGTAATAGTATTACACTTTGATCGGCATATAATTTCAGTGAATGCTTGAATCAATTCATTCGATGGTGCTTTCTACACCGTTGAATGTCGTAGCTATGAAATCTTCATATACATCAGTATATTACATAATTAGGCGTTACATTATTATTATAACGGATAAATATTTGTAATCAATGAATACCGATGCAATACCCATTGTTCAGCCCATCAACAGTGTATATCTATGTCTCACATAGGATTTTGTGTGATTGATAGTTCTGCTACAGTCTGAATAAACGTACAGCACTGATATCGCCCTGAGAGTCAGACTATGGTCGGATTGAGTTTGTCAAATGAATTCAGTTCTTTATCGTGCTACTTTTAGTTATCAACAGGAATCCTATGTAGACTTCCCTAACGGCTTCATACATAACTTTGTTCAATCCAACACATATTCCCCGCTTGTATTATAACTATCTTTGACGGACAGTCGCATTAAAATCTCACGTCAGCTGACCGTATCTTGGATATTCACATAATTGTACAACTGACTCAATCTATGAGGATTGACAGGCTCTATAACATACCATTACGATATTACCGTAGTAAGGCGTGTGATGTCCATGTTACCGACCAATCAAATGGCACAGTTTCTCATTGTACACACTTCAGCTTTTTCTGACTAAACACAGATGGGTGGATAATTCCTGTGAGAGCACATCTGTCACAATCCACTCTGCTCACAAGTATAATATAAATCAGAAATCGAATGAATCATTCATGAGTTCTACAGGTCAATTTGAAAAGTGACTCCACTGAGAAATCCACACGAAATAAAAGTCACCGGCAAGTGAATAAATGTTGGAGTTGGCGAATATTGGAAAATAATGACGGAAACACTTACATATTATAAGTAAAGGTCTTGCCTGGGAGGTAATCCATTCTGAAAATGTTGCAAATAAAATATTGTGAAATTTAAGTTAAACAAAAATATGGAACACGTTGCAGCGGATGAGACTAGTCATGTACGGTGAACATTACTGTTTCATCATGAGATAGGAGAAGAAGTATAATAGCGTGTTTCTATGGACAGCGTTGTAAGTGGGATTATATCTCACAGTCTGACTGAAACCAAGCTCAAATAATATCTTCATCAACTAAAGGTATAACTAACCATGTGTACATCAACTCTTCTGTCAACGTGGGGCAAACTGCATGGGGTCAGTCTCGTAATTTGACGTCAGAAAAATCATTTTGCCTAACGAAGTAATCAGACGGCCAATAATGGTTGATTAATCAAACGCCTAAGTGTAGTGTCATATATCTGTGAATCGAACTGAATAGGAACAAGGCAGTCCATACAAAATAAAGTCAGGAAGTGACGAAATTCAAAAGAAAACATGATGATGCAGAAGCTGGGAAAGTGATCGTAGAAGTGTGCAAGTTTACATCCAATATGAAGAAGTATTCCTCGCATATTATCAATAACTGTAAGATTATGAGATGAAGCATATATAAGACTAAAATGCGGTCAACGCTGAAATGAAAGTTACACAGATATTTAGAGCAATCGAAAATGCTGTTTTCTTATGTGATGCAAAATTCAAATAGCAGTAAAAGTTTGGTCAAGTTAAAAAGAAATCGAGTAGTGTCATGGGAGCAACTCTGAAAGTCCATAACTAAAGAAAAGTGCAAACAGTTTGGAAAGAGGTGGAATAGGAAGAAGAGATATTAAAAGATGAGTGTAGAAAGCATTAGAATCGAATCTGTCGAAAGTAGACAGCGAGGACAACACATGTTTGGGTGTGAAACGTAATAATACAGAAGTCGGAAAAAGCGATGGAGGACAAGTAACCGGTTGGTATTTTGAAGTCAGTGAAAATAGAACTAGACACATTGTGAGAAATAAGCACAGTGTGAGCAACGGAGGTCCAGGAGGAGTGGATGATATCAGCATTTGGTTTAATGAGAAGGTTTAGAGATTCAGATATCAATATAACAAAGCAAAATACGCTCAGCAGGAATGACATCAACAAATTAAATTTGATAACATCAATATTATATAAAATGAACCTTCCTTAGATTGAAAAAAGGTATGTGGTCATAAAAATCAAGCAAAGATGAAAACACCGACCCACCTAGAAGGCTAGGATATGTCTGCATACTGTTTGCTGTTGTCATAACGTCTAGAAAATAGAAAAATTCGGTAAAATTAGGATATTATTGATCAATTTGGCATAGTGATAAATACAACAAAACAGCGAGATTCTGGAAATACCTACGAAAATTAAAGGAAAAAAGGGGACTCTTCAACGCCCGCCGGTATTCAAACCCAGGACTTTCCTGTTACAAAACGAGCTCGCATAATATTAAGCCACTGGGACCCGATCCAATGGTCCTTGAATTCTAACTATTGCCAATTCACGGCATAGCGCGATCGTTAGCCAATGTCTTCGGCGGATATTTGTTCTCTCAACCGACCCGCTGCACACTACTGGTCTGGACTTCACACTGGAATCCAGGTAACTACCTACAGGAATAGGACCAATCCAGTGGTTCTCTAACTAATGTCAGCACATGATGAAATCCTGAAACCAAACAAATCCCTACAAACCAACACTTGAATACCAATGAGATGCACACTGGCGATTGGCCATATTCAGGTATGGGAAGTTAGCTGGGGTTCCAGTGAGAAGTCGTGACCAGAAGGGGGCAACGGATCTGGTGTGAGGACAAATACTGGCCAAAGATATTGACTAGCGGTCGCGAATAGTCGTGAATACGCTAAAGTTAGAATCCAAGGAACATTGGATAGGTCCCAGTGGCATAATGGTGTACTAGCCACCATTGTGAAAGGAAAGCCCCGAGTTCGAAACATGGTGGGTGCGTTATGAAAAGGAGACACAAATTAGGACGAAAAAGAAGTCAAGCATTCCCAAGGTTCAGCTTGGTACAAGAACAAATGGAACTTCATGATAAAAAATTGAAACAAAAAAAAATTCACAGATATTTGAGAGACCGAAGGAGAAAAGGAATACAGCGAACAAAGCAATATATTAAATGACCCGAAGGACAACATGCTGGCCTACTGAGTCAACGACTCACTCGCTGATTGGCTTTGCTAGGATTCAGTGTCGACTGCGTGTTGGACGGTGAGAGGATACTATCTGAGGATGTGCGTGTGAGTGTTGTTGACGAATTCTTGTGATAAACGGTGAGGTGGACGGACGCCTTGAAATATTTCGAATATGTTTGTGTGTGTGTGTGCGTGTGTGCGTGATGGACTGTGGACAGTGATATGCATGTGAGTTGTGTTGTGGTGATATTCGGTGAGTGTATGATGTGGCTTTGTAGGTGGATTGGATGGAGATGTGAGGCAGTGAGTGGCGTGTCGACTGTGTCATGAGGAATGAAAGTGTGAGTGTCAGTTGGTCGGTGTGTCAGTCGGTTGTTCGTTCGCGAAAAGAAGAGAGGCACACACTCTGTGAGACTGCGCCTTATTCACCTAGACTGTAACACATGACTACCAGACAGTCGGACAGGCAGTCGGACTGACAGACAGATAGAGAGATAGAGAGAGAGACGGAAATACAGACAGACAGCAGACAGACAGACAGAGACGGCCAGCAACGCTGAAGCTCTTCAGTCTGATGGACAACAGAAATGTCGCCGACAAGTATGTATAGACACTCACTCACCTGTCGAACTGGAAGTCTCTTCTGTGACCGCTTCAGTGGTTGTGTCTTCTGAAATCGAGACAGAAATCACCTCGTTAACAATCATTAATTTGATTTCCGTGAACTTGTGCTTATCCGTGTGAATTTGCAAGCATTCACTCACATAGCCATTCTCAATCGTCACACTATACTCCTCCTCGAAATTCTTCACAATCCAGTGATACTTTCTAGTCCTCACGTGAAAACGACAACATCCACCATCGATCGGATTCAATGACTCGATGGTCGACATGCTGGCCTACTGAGTCAACGACTCACTCGCTGATTGGCTTTGCTAGGATTCGGTGTCGACTGCGTGTTGGACGGTGAGAGGATTCTATCTGAGGATGTGCGTGTGAGTGTTGTTGACGAATTCTTGTGATAAACGGTGAGGTGGACGGACGCCTTGAAATATTTCGAATATGTTTGTGTGTGTGTGTGCGTGTGTGCGTGATGGACTGTGGACAGTGATATGCATGTGAGTTGTGTTGTGGTGATATTCGGTGAGTGTATGATGTGGCTTTGTAGGTGGATTGGATGGAGATGTGAGGCAGTGAGTGGCGTGTCGACTGTGTCATGAGGAATGAAAGTGTGAGTGTCAGTTGGTCGGTGTGTCAGTCGGTTTTTCGCTTGCTTTTTGTATATTTGCTCACTATGTGTTTGACTCGACGTCATTTTTTGTATACTGTTTGTGTTTCAGTTGTTTCTTATTTTTAGTACTTTCCCTTTCGCTTTATTTGCTTTTGTTTTCTTATGTGTTACATTTAGTGTTTTGTAGATTCTTATCATGGTTTCTCGTTTATATCTACACCCATTGAGCCAGTCTTTATTGTTTTCTGTCGCTCTGAATCTTGTTGGTCTAATGGTCGGTATTATTTTTGATGAACATATTTTCTCTACTGCCCCTCGTTTGGTCAGTTTTCTTGCTTCTGTCTTTATTCTTTTCGCTTTTTATTTATGTATCATATCGATTTCTGTTTTTCTTTTTTTTGTCCTTGTAATCTTTTTCTGGTGTAGAATTTTCGTGTGTATTTTTCTCCCATCTATTTTCGTGAACGCATATATTTCTATTATTCTATTCTTCTCTCCTGTTTTCTGTTTTCAGCTACGTTGTGTTTGGACTTCCTTTCATTGTATATTAGTCTCTCACAGTTATTCTTATTTACCTCATTGTTTTCTTTCTTTTAGAGTGTCGTTTCTAAGAAATTCCAGTTCGTTTTCAGGACTAGGTCATCAAGTGTCATCGTTTGGTTAACCATTGGAAACACAATACGGAGTAGTGCACAACTGGCTGTTTCATTCTGGTAGTTTGACGGTGATCTTCGGTGCACCTCAAGCATCAGTGTTACAACCTGAAACCTTGCAGGTATGAAACGGCCGTGTAGGCCATCAAGTCATTGGCACGAATTCCAAATGTTCAATCAATGGAAACATAATAAGTGAATCCTGTAACCGAACAAATCCCTGGAAACCAACAATTCACAGTTTCATTTCTTTTCATCGCGTACTAATTCATATTGAAGTATTGCTTACACTGCTGCCTTCAGTGATTCTGATGATTAGGAATATTTCAGATAATACTCTATATATTAATAATCATACATGTAGGTAGCTTACCTAACTTCGGTAGAGAGAATCTGTTTCCATGTGAGATAGCAAAGATCAACTGATTTTCTGCTTTATTTCTCAGAGTAAACTTCTTCTCATCACCCTGTACGATGATCATTTCAAGTGGTTGATTATCTTGTCCACTGAAGATAACTGTAACATCATTTCTATTGCAGAATGCGGACTCTTGTTCCCATGTCATATTTCGAAGCTCTCCAGACTGCATTTGGACATTTGTGATCCTCGGAACTGGTGAAAAAAAATTTTAGAGAAATGAATTTGTCGATTTTATATATTTCGATTAATAAATTGTTATCTAATATCAGAGAATGATAGTTGTCAGTGGAGTTAATAACCTGATTTCAGAGGGCTCCCTTTTTTTTCTCGAAATGCTCGTCTAGATGAATTCATGTACTCGACATAAAAATGTAACGTGGGCTATCACTAACTATTTCTCTAAATTACCAGTTCTCTTGAGTAGATATATAGTCAGTCAGCGAGATATCAGTTGTTTTTAACGCATTCTACTCTCTGAGATGAGTCAGACCAAGTAAACTGCGGATTAGCTGCGCCTCAGACAAGTGAATCTGCCGTCTGGAGTTTGGATCACATCGATTTGGCTGGATAACAAGCACGCCTGGTGATATAAGTGGTATAGACCCACTCATGGCCATCCTTCACTTTCATTGATCTAATCTACGAAGATGGATAAATCAGTCACGATCGCATAGCAAACAGGCCATCGACAGAAACCCGAGTAGAAAGCGATGGATTCCATCTTGGAAAACTTCGGCACTTTCGAACTCTGATGAGCTAACTCAATATTTGATAATAAACACATCGTCTGTCGGACAAAGTCTCAACAACTGGATAATAGCCGGTGCTCACAATCAGAACTTTCAAGTTACAAGGTTATCAGTTTTGTCCTGCCACCTATCAGAACATGCAATGTTTTACTACGGTGAGGAGAATTTATAAGAGTGTAAGACGTGTTTGACAGACTGCGTCATTAATGAGATTGCTAGCTGTCCACTGGCGTTTTCATTTCAACGATTCCGCCAGTTTTCAACCAAAATCTACATTCAGGCCATCATCAACACCCTACAAACATAAAATCTACGGAATGAAACTCATTCATGATGGGAATACACGTAATCAAGTAATTGAAGCATATTATTTAATATTTGTATTATTGTTGTTCTTTTGGCTTTCGAGTTGAATATACGGCGTGAACAACACATCTACACTTTGTCCTACTCTCTGTTGCCCTCTTTATTTGGGCCCACGATTGCCAATAATCTCCGTTTGCTCCTTGTCACCGTCGCAACAACGACGCTTTCGTCGATTCTAATTTGAGTTCTACTGTAGTGGCGGCCTGCATTTTGCGTGATATCATTCCACGGTGTCCTCATTGTATACCCAGTTCATCTTTTACTCCGACATATTTACTGAACGATGGGTACTTCATTTATCTGCCCTCAGACTTTCTTTATGTGGATTCTCTCTAACTGACCATTGGATTTTTAATGAGAAGGTAGAGTAGTCAGTCATCGATAAATTCTTTAAAGGCTGTTGGAAATGCCATTCGTGACGTCAGTGCCAAGTTTCTCACTCATACACAAGAAGTGACTCACCTCACATTTGTGAAGAAATTCCTAATCTCGTTGTTTATATTGTGAAGTGCAGAAGATTTATGAACCGATTTCAGACTGACAGTGATGTATCTCACCTTTCCAATTCTAACTGACTTTGACATTTTCGTCTGCTCCGACTGCCCGTGGTTGAGACAGGGCCACTTGGATAGGTGGAGAGAGTGACTGACCCCTTTCAAAACCCTCAGTTCATACTGATTCGTGCTTCTTGTTGTTGTCGCTGATGTTGTGGCTGTTGTCGATCAACGGGTATCTCCATCACCTCTGTCTTCTCTGTGTCTACCTGGAGTTCACCACCTGATTGTTCGGACAGTTTGTTGGTTGTCGTCTGCAAGTCTTCGAGTTTCACTGTGTGTGACATGAAGCATAAATCAGCCACGGGCGAAATCCAGATCTTCTAGACTTCTCTTATTCGTCTAGTGAGCTCCTCTCTTATCACTACTTATAGTCTGATACACAATCTAGTCCACAATTAATAGGGTTACCACTGGTGATTAAAGGCGGACAGCCTTCTCTTACTCCTGTATTCATTTCAAAGTCAGACTTCGTTGGGTTTTCCATTGTGAATCACTCAATACGTAGCATCGTCATATAGCCAACTGTTGAATGGGGTTGATAAAGATTTGGGGCAGTGCACGCCATAAAGCTGAAGCAGTCTCCAAATTACTTCCGTGTCAATGATGAGCTGTCGAAGGCGATTTCAAAGTTGATGAAGCTGTTGAGCTAGAGGTGGAGATGGGGGTTTCACTGCTATTCTATTCCTTGTTCAAACTGACGCCAATCTGCTTTCCATGAAACAATTAAAGCCTAATTGATAAATCAAATTACATATACTCAGTGAAATGTGTACAGTATTCATCTGTATGAGTGTGTGCATTTGTGCAGTTAATGAAGTAGCAGGGGTGTTTTCATCTATTCTACTCTACAAAACAGGCAATCATCTCTACCAGCTTACCTCTGTTGTAATAAATTATGTGTGATCCTGCTGTACGTCGCCACGACTCGGTTGTTTTCCTTGTGATACTATATCGCGAATTCTGACATGTGTCTCCAATGGCTTTAAATGTAGCAGACGTTGTGTTCACACTGAGGATAATGAAAGGATTTGAATATATCGTGAGATGTAATTCCAGCTCGAATTCGAAGCCTGGATAAGGACTAAATGGAAGCCAAGTAAAGCTTAAATATTTATCGCTTTCTTGAAATAGCCAAAATTGACTTCCATCTGTATTTGGTAAATTATAATAGACAAAATAACAATGGAGATATTCATGATTATATTTAAGTAAAAATTTGAAAGGAATTTAGTGAAGTGATGAGAAATGTAGACATTACAGGTTCGACGATGAGTTGAGATCAATCAATAAGAGAACCGTTGAACACCAACATGGAATACTGAATAGCCAGTTCTTTCGTCATCGTTGTTTGGAGTCATTCGACAATATGCATGTACCGCTAGAGCTCGAAAATCTGGCGCTTCTCATTACGAGGCTAGCGGGCTCTTAGATTATTCAGCCACTGGATCCGTATCAAGTCAAGTATGAGTTCAAATGCTCGCTGATGCCACTGGCTGGAGGTTTTGCTAAGTGCGACTCTAGTTTGTAGAAGTTGGAATTCATGTCCTGGACGATGGATAGAAGCCCAGTGACTAAATGGTCTACGAGTTCACTGACCTTCTAAAGAGAAGGAGTAGGGTTCAAACCTTGGTGGTGAGCTCTTATTGCTGAAAAGTTGCGAACAACGAAGATGAAACAGCTGGCTGCTTAAAACTTTCTGCTGGTGTCTAGTGGTTCTCTAATTGACTTCAACTCATCATCAAACCCGTAACCAATCAAATCCCTGCCATCCAACACTTTATGAATAAACATCAAATGCAGAATGCTTCTATATCTACAAATGTGGAACACTTCATCACCGTGGTAGTATGCGATTCCATAATAATTTGTTTGTTGGATATATTACACATATACATTGAGGCAGTATTATTTACTAGATGACAGAGTTTACAACACAGTCTGTTACTGGTCATGATTATATCAATTAGGCCTACGCAAATTTGAAGTTTTGGTTTTCCATTGTTCTCTCTAATCTTTTGGAAGTTGTACATTGAGTTGTCATCGAGACGAAATAAAAGTGTCACTGAACAACCCCTTCCGCACGCACACACCAACAAACTCACACAGAAACAAATTATGCCATCTACAGGGCCCTATAGGGTCTATTAAACAACGTAATTTAGTTTACCTAGTGGCCTGCAATTATTTCCAGGTCGAATGAACGAAGTCAGCCAGACTAGCGGAGTACAAACTTCTGAGAAACTCGACATAAGTTGACTCTGATTAGGTAGTAAATCTGGAGAATAACCCAGTTATAACAAACGCTACATGCAATCACAGAGAAGCATGCAATACAGGATGGAATAAGAGCGAGATATTAAAGCTAAATAGAACAAGGTGATGGGAGAAGCTGAAAGTTGAAGCCTTTATTTATCTAATCGACTGGAAAACCGTGTAACAGAAATGTGTGATTAAACACATATCCACGCGGATATCTAGAAAATTATACTTCCAACGACATAAGGCTAAGTGGCCGCTTTCATCCTGAAAATAGCCCACACCATGCGTTCACATGAAAAACGCTCTCGGGAACACTATCCACCATGGTTAGCAAATGAGGAACGCTAGGATGTATACAGCTCGATAACAGAACCTATGATTAATTCAGGACATTCAGAGACATTTGAAAGCCCTTGAAAGTCATATACAAGATCCGATCAAACCTATCTTGGGGAGTGAAACCTAGGCATCTAGGAATAGGTGAGACTCTGGCGATCCAAAAGTTCAAGCCCAGGGTTTGTGTTCGAAAGAAATATGTCCAACCGTTGTCCCTACTGTGACCATCATGAAAAGTCAGTCGCATCAAAAATTATTACGCTATTACTTTTCCCATCCAAGCCTTTAGTTTATTTCTGTAAATTTCTCTATTTTAATTCCCGTTTACATGACTAGATTTGGTGGATGTTTTCAGCCTTATATATATCCGAAATTTCTACCTATTTTGTTATTACTAAGTCCTCAATCCGTTAATCGTGAAATGATGCCTAATATCGCAATCGCGGTTAAATGATCAGATTTACGAAAAGATGGAGAGAACAGTGATGGGTTTACACATATCAGGACTAAAAGACGAGGTCATTATACAAAGACTAGAATTCAATATCTCTACATATAATCAAAATAAACAGCTGCCACCTTGTTTTGATGACGCATTCGTGATGTGTAATCAAAGAAACGGTCAATCAACATCATATTTGAAGACTTCGAAATTCACACGAGTAGAAGAATGAGACAACAAACAAGTACAGGAGATTTAGGAACAAAATATGCAGACTATCAACACACATTCACACACACACACAGTCACGCACATGAGCATGCACGCAAGCACACAGAGGTCAAATGCTCAATCACAATGGCTATGATCCACTGACGCACAAAAGTACTTAGATACCATAGATAACTTACAGTCATCGTCATTTGTAGCAAAATAGGCCAGTTCATATTGTCCAGATATTCCTTGCGGCAATGCTGTTACTGCAATGAATAAAAGAGAAACAATTAACACAGGAACATTGTGAATGCGAACGTGGAAGTCTTAAAGAAACTGGAATAGAGGCGGCATCTACAAGAAACTAACAATGAAACAACCAACCAAGAAGGCAATCAACGAAATTGATCAGAGAAAAATTGTATCAGATTAAAGACCCAATAGGTGCAATTTCGTCAAATAATAGTGATGAAAACTGAGATCAATAACTCAAGTCAGACGAGTTGATTAGGATCGGTTAAATTATCAGCAGATATGGATATCGGGTTAGAGTTAGAATGATTGACCCAACTGAGTCAAATAATCTGAATAAAGCTACTGCAGCGGGTGCTATGTATAAAATTTATCAGTAGTAGATAAATAGACGTCCGTCAGCATAAAATTATTAATTTAGCAAGGAGATAGATTTGACGTTAGAGGAAGCAAATGATTCAGGGTTGTAGAGAAAATTGAGAAACGTGAAAGGCGCGCAAAGAAATAGAATGTGAAGCCCATATGTGACACAACACGGGATATCTGTGAAAGTTGTGGTTGGAAGATGAGGTGTACATAACACCGCCTATTCGGCAATACCGAATTGCAAATAAACATTCCTTTATCAAGTCTCTTGTCTTCGACGCTGGAATAATTTACGCTAAACTCACCAACATACAACCTCTCTAAATACTTACTCTCGGTACTACAACCACTACAAAATGATAATCAAAATATTGTAAGAAAATTCATATGACTTAAAATCTCAAATAGAACACTGAGAAATTGATAAAGAAGACATTGTGGTAAGCTATGATATTAACTCATTATATACAAGTATCCCTTTTACCAAAAGTCTTGATATCATTTCCAGTCTACTAGAATCAGATACAATAGTATCACGAAGATGTCCAATGGACACCAGTGAAATAATTAAGAGCTTAAAATTCTGTCTAGAAAGTAATTATTTTACATTCAAACGGGAGTTTATATAGACAGATAAATGGTGTTGCTATGGGTTCACCAGTCTCCCCAATGGTCGCCGATCTTTACATGAATAAATTCGAAAATAATATCTTTTCAAGCATACTCTCTCCTAAAATATGGTTAAGATATGTGAATGATACTTTTGTAGTACTAAAACGAGATCTACACAATTCATTCCTGGAGAAAATAAACTTTGTATCTTGCAAAATCCAGTTCACTTCGGAAGCAGAATCAGACGCCGGTGTACTACCATTTCTAGACTGCCTAGTTAAGAGAAAGGAAAACGGATATTTCAGTACATCCATATTCAGGTAGAAAACCCACTCCAACAAATATTTAGACTTCAAATCATCACACCCCATCAGCGCAAAGATTTCAGTTGTTTCAAGTCTTCTTAGACGAGCACACTCTCTGATAATATGGATGAGAAAGAAAAAGAAGAAGAAACATCACATATTACTGAAACTCTCAAGCAAAACAACTACCCAAGGAGATTCATCAACAAAATCAACAGAGACATTAAGTATGGCCGAAAACGCATTCCGAAAACATGGGCCTCAACAATCGTCATTCCACATAGAGCAGAGACGTCTGACGATATCAGAAGAGTACTAAATCAGCTCGACATTAGAGTTTTCTTCAAAACATCAGACACACTTCAAAGAAACCTTGTCCATATAAAAGACCAAATCCCGAAAGATTCTCTATCTAATTGTGTCTATAAGATAATGTGCTTGGAATGTGTTGCAATCTACATCGGACAAACATCTCGAGAAATCAAAATCAGAAGAAATGAACACCGTAGAGTCGCATCTCTTCGACCACCGAGAAATCCATTTGAACTAGAAAAACTTGAAAAATCATCATCCATAGCTCGTCTACACACTTTAGAATCAGGCCACAAAATTGATTTTGACAATATTAAAATAATCGAGAAACACTTCAGAAATCACAAAGATTGTCTAGTATCAGAAGCACTTCATATCAAGTGGAAACCAAATTACCTGAACAGGAATGATGGACTAAAACAGAATCTGACCTGGTTACAACACTTCCTTCCCCCATGAAGAGATTTAGTAAATTCTGGTTTAATAATACTTTGATAAAGCTATTAGCGTCAGCATTAAATAGTGAAACGTCAGTAAAAACAATATCGTTTTGTTTTTCATTCACTGGGAAATATAGAAAGCCTTTATTATAATCAATATCATTTACGTAATGCCCAAATTTTTTCAAACCGTCAAAAGTGAACTTGATTTCGATATATATATATATATATATATATATATATATATATGAGAAATTCAGCCTATTGTCAAGCTGACTTTAAGTCTGAAGGACCAGGAAAGATTGCAAGAATAACATTTCATACTGAGGACTATTTATAATAGTATTAATCGCTCAAAACGCCTTTATTCCTTATTACTTCATACTACACGGTCGGTCACATTTGCCTCAGACACACTTATCGTTCAGCTTTGTTGAGAAAAGGAAACAGTTCAGATTGGTCTCATGAAGAAAAAGCATACAATTTCTTCATTGTCTTATAGACATCACAACTAGCTAGCCACCTTTAACAATGAAACATCCAGTGAAGTGACGATAAGAGAAATTGTGGTGGACTGTGTTCTGAGAAAGAATATGGAGACATGAATAAGTTGAACCGATAAACAGTCCGTTGGAGATTTGAACTCAGTGAAAGGGTTTCGTCTAATGTTACACAAACTCGAGGATGTGTAGGCGAAATTCGACAAGTTGGCAAAGGAGGCAGGCGGCAAAGACAGGAATTCAAATGCGACTGTAGAAGTCGGAGGTGATGATGATAATCAGTCGACATCAATAACAACAACAACAAGTGCCAGTCTTAGTGAAAACGGAATACGTTTGAAATTGAGCAATCACTTCATTCACTAAGGCAGAATATTTGGAATGGATGTAGATGCATATCAAAGTCAATCTAGGTTGGGCGGGCAAGACAAACCTTCATCATCCCTCTGAAATCAGTTTGTAAATATCCAGTTCACTCAGCTTAAGGCCAAATAAATTTGGATTTTGAAAACCCATGTCATTTTATTCATTCTAAACAAATGAGAGAGAGACAGTATTTTGCAACAGGCTATCGCAGAATCCTACCAAAAGATGCATTTCACTGGCTGCAGACTGTGGGTCAGATGGCTACTCAGAAAGAATTCTTAAAACGAAATTTCCGAGACAAGCATCACAAGAACCTATTGCTCAACAAATATGCCAAAGTAAATGGAGGTGCATCGGATACAAATCGTGGAAGCTGTTGAATGACATCATGCGTAAAACCATTCAGGGGTACTTGAATGGTAAACGATGAGTTGGTTTCATAACACCTTTGGCTAATCAAAGGAGATGAAAGTTAATAGGCCATTGTGAAGCGCGCTTGAGAAGACTTGAGTCATCAGGAGAAAATGGAGATGTTTTGTTGCATCCATATGTCTTACTCAGAAACTAAGGGAATAATAATTATATCATATATATAATAACATAATAATATGAAATAATAATATAATAAAATAATAAAAGTGTTTCTGAACTTACTTTGTAGGATAATGAAAATAAGGATTCCGTCAAAACTGAACGTCCGCATGGTTGATTCACCACTGTTGAATTTGTCTAGATCCACAAGTATGTGTATATATATATATATATTTCACACGTTAAATTAAGATCATATGCAAGGTCACTGAGCTTATCAGTCTGCTAAACAAAATGAATTCATCCATTTCACGACTGGCCTATAAAGTAAACAAACAACGCAATTCTTGTGTGTCTGTGTCGCTGTGTGTGGGCTTTATATCACACTGAAACTGTGACTCAATTTAGTCAATCTTTCATGTCTTTTGCAGGTATTGAGTGGGTTCCACAAATTCTAACTGTGTGACAGATAATTAACTCTCTCAAGGTCACACATTCACATATTTGACGTCATTTGTTCAGAGTAATTCTATTCCTTTTAGTATGAACGATGTAAATCATTCAGCAGATTGTGAGTATTTGGTACTTCTGAAATAGTTTAAGAAAATATGCTTGCAGTCAAAATGATTATTATTTTAGTTTCACTATCACTATTGTAATTGCTATTAATTGAATTATTCTGAAGTTTGAGTTATCGTTCCTAGCGATCACCTAAAGGAAAGCGCTGGAATTAGGTATACAACTCACTATATATCCACTAAGAAGAAGCATTGAGGAAAGAATGTGAATAACATACAGGATGACTTTATTTAAAAAAAAGGGACATCTGAGAATAAATCCCAGATTTCATTGAACTTCTTGGTTACAAGATATGCTGGTAGAGTATTTGAGCAATTGGAATCTGATTCAATGGTTCATGAAATACTTGGGCTTGAATTCCTGTAGGTTTGTGCTGATGGACAGTCTGAAAACCTGACGAAATGGCTGTCCAGTGGTTCTTTAACTGACGCCAATTAGTAATCAGACCTGTAACTAATCAGGTATTGCTGGTCAAACAACACTTGAAAATTGTCTGATTCTCCGTAACGAGAAGTCAACTACTTGTTGATGAAATTGATTGGTGGTTGCGCAATATACATCTAGAATTGGCAGAGGCTGCAATTCATGAGCTGACCATTGGATAAGATTCCAGTGGCTAGATAGTTTAAGAGCTCGCCTAGAAACCCAATTGGTTCATACCACTGAAGTGCCTCGAGGTAAAACGAAATAGGTACCCGGTTCATCCTACGTTCATTCCATTGATAGTCTGTAAAGGTCAGCATCTAGAGCCTTAGTTATGTATTTTGTTAGTTTAAGGTCAAAAAAAAGAGAAAGATCAGAGTTACTTCAGTATTAGATTAGAGTTATACGCTGTTGATGCAAGTCTGTAGGAACCTGTTGGATGTGCTTTTTCTGCGTCAGCAAGTGTGTCGAATTAAAGGCACCGATGTTAATCTACACTTAGCTAAGTGGCAAAAAATTTCATGTAATTGTGATGACGGTCCAATCATCTTATATCATAATAATTACATAACGTTTGACAAATAACTGAACTGCCATATCTCATCTGTCAAAACAGTGTCTCTTTCTGAAGATTCAATGGCCGCATTTTCCCTAATTGTCTTTCTTCAGTGATTTCCAATTTACTTTAAATCGAAGGAATCCAACAGAATGACAAGATATTACTGTTTACTAACACAAACTCTCAATTAATTTCCATTCTGAGATCCAAATATGCAGAGCTTATATACTACGAGACGAGTAGTTGCAAGCTACTCATATCAACCAGTAGTGGTTACTAGTCAGCCAGATTGAGGTGATAAACACACCAGACGATCTCGGCAGTCGTTTGCAGTCAAGGTCACTAGTGGGGAAGATAGACGATTTGTCTCAGACAAGATAGCAGAATTAGTTCAAATCGCCCGATTGAAATTATTCAGTAGTATGTAGCAACGATTTCCACTACCTTGATCGCCGTTGATAGGATAAAACAGATCACATATATTGTGATCTGAGTAATTTCATTTTTCGATATAAGGTAGTGAAGAAACCAGTATGTAGACTGTCATAAATGATATAAGTGACGATTGAAGTTACCCTAATATCTACTGATAAATCTTGTCAGTAGCATATTCCAGAGAAGTACTTCAAGGTGATTTATTAATCCTCTGGTTCTATTTTCGTAAACAACTTGGAATCAACTCAGATATAGAAGCGGTTGTTAACGTAAACATCAATATACACAAAATTTGCACATTCCATTTTATTTTTGCACACAACCTCCACTTATATGGTGTGATGTTGAGGAATTTGCGACCTGTGCAGAATATCACTCACCAATTTATAGTAAACTGAGAAAACTTAATGTTTCGCTAAGTAATGCAAGAGGAAGATAATCACGATGGAAATATGGTGCGTCTTGTGTGAGAATTTTCTGGTTGCCAAATGCTGTTCATTTCAACTGAGTAGATGTTTGCCAGAGTGGTAATCCAGTGAAACTGATGTTAGATTAGAAAGAGACACATAAGCAAACAACAGTCCTTTCAATTATCTCTTCTCCAAGCTTTGTTCTAGTCTACATAGATTTATGTATAAAAACAATAATAGATAAAATGCCCTGTTTTTCTCGTCATGTTGATGATGCATTAATTATTCTTGTGAAGAAAGCTGACAAGAATGAAATTTTGACAATGTCGAATGATGCACATTCATCTATGATTTTGCTTGTGAGGAAGAACATGACGACAGACTACACTTCCTTTATGTTTGATGGGGTAGGAGAGAGGATGATTCACCGAAGAGGGATTTCGGTAGAAAACCTACACCTACATGACAACGTATACATTTCTTCAGTTTCGGATCAATGCGATAAGAAATCAATTTGGTGAGACGCTTCAAGAATAAAACAAGACGCATCTGTACCGATGACTGCCTAGAAAGTGACATAGGACACAAGTGAAATACGCTGTTCCTAATCGCTTCTCTTAGTAGATTTGTGAAGAAAAACATTGATCGATAAGAACGAATAAAAGTCTGTTTTTGACGATTTGATTTTCATAGCTGCACAATCGTGTACACATATATTAATTTAATTATGGCAGGCAATAAAACTAGGTTTTGTTGTATGTTCGCGTTAAATTTTGACAGAGAGTTGAAATACTCAAGTGCAAGAATATTGGTGTATAGGATTACAAGTCACACTTGATTAGATATATATGAATGAATTGCTTAATGAATAAATAGAGATCAAGGTAAAGTTCAGTAGACGACATGACATGGATAGATGAGTGAATTGTTGTCAAAATAGTAGACTAGATATAATGTCACATTATGATAAGATAAAGTGAAATAAAATAAAAAAAACAACGAAAGTGGAACACAAAATAAAAAAAGGATAACAAAGATTGTCTTAGTGAATCACATAGCCAAATCAAGATCATGGGGTTGTAACGAAAGCAGTCGTACAAATTGCTTCTGTACACAAAATTCTGCATTAATGTTATGGATTACTGAGGCCTTTAATGTACAGATCAAATTTATAGAACTTTTTAGACTATAATAAACGGTGTGTGAGATGCTGCGTGGTGGTCAGTATCTACAATATATTGCAATATCGTTGAATGAATACCTCTACATTATCTTTTGCTCAGGCAAACTGTGAGGTTCCTGTGGACGTCGCAGTGGGGTATGTTTCTCGACGAACATCTTGTGTACCGTAGTGCCTCAACAGCAGGTGTACAGATAAATACACATGGTATCAGACAACCGAGGTAACATTTTCGTGACATCAAGGGGCATCAGTGGACGGCTAGAATAATTTATTTCTAAACTGAAAGCAAAGGATATTTTTCTCAATGATCTCGTGTAGACAAGTTTCAAGTATCTTACTCTCAGTGTCACTTCTAAATTCTAAGTTTAGGTGCAATACTTGTTCAGCTACCTTGTCAATCTCTGTATTTACTTCAAGTGATTGGCCTATTGGCCTCTACGAAGCTTAGTGAATATTCGATTTCTATGAAGGTTTCGTTCAGTTGTTTGATTTTTATCATCAACACTGTCTTCACTATACACTCTCTGGACCCGTGGTGAGAGAGAAAGGGATTAGATTCCGTTGTCTGTCTATTGGGGCAAAACTGTAAATATTGGTCTGCGTTGTGATTCTGTAATATGAACTATGATAATTACTTTATTGCAAGAAGTCAATTTTCATACGGAATGGAATTTACAGCGTTGTACACATGGCAACAATTTATCTCCTTTGCCAAATTAATTAGTTAATTAATTAAACGATAAAGTTGCAGAACCTGAAAGTTTATAGAAGAATAATTAATATATGTGAGAATAATAATAGTAGTGATAATTTAATTTTTAATTTTCTGTTTATTTATAGACGGAAAATTGGGTTTAATAGGTTCTTTCTTACTTTGAATTATTTGTCGGTTTACACAAAACGCGTGCTAAATATAGAATGGCTAAGCTTTGGTATCCGCTCGTTGTTTGCACGTAAGCCTTTAAGAAGTCGGAGAACAAGGCAGATTTCCAGCATTATACGAGATGACTTCAGCTGACTGTTTGCAAGACTTTAAATGCCTGTCAACAACAACTATTTCAATTAGTTTCGAGATAGACACATCAACCCCTAACCCTGCTTACTGCCTTCAAACTTCTACATAATATAATATAGCCTTTTTTTGGCAAGCCCAGAAAGGAATAAAAGGGGAACAGTAAGGAAGAGTGGGTGGAGTACTTGGAATAATTAGTTGTACGGGAGGAGGTTGAGTGATGCCACAATGTCTCAACTCATTAATGCAAAAAGTCAAACGAAAGACGTTTTCAGAAGTCAATACGATATGAGATAACTGACAAAGATTTTAGGAGAAACTGATACGAAGATAGGTGATATTCCATTGATTTTCTTCTTGTCTCAGTGTCATCGGTACTGAAAGAATCGTGAGAATAAATCGGTCTGGTCAAGTGTCTTTTCACTTCTGAAAGTAAAAATGTTATTCCGTTAATCGGAGAGATTCAGTTCAGGACCATTTTAATGAATGAGACCATTGGTTAACCTCAGACAGGAAACCATTCATGTTAGAATAATCGAATGCAGGAATGACTTGGAGAGGAATTCTCACATCATCAGCATGCT